TGGTTCGGACTACTGTAGCTACAGTAGAAACATGTACATATGCATGTAAGTACTTATGTATATGTGTATTAACTATTCATGCATGTATGCATGTATATTATATGTGAAGTTTTAAGACAATTTTTTTCTACAACATGGTAACTGTGTTCTTTTACTCATAATAATGCTATTATTGAATTAATATGAACCCTTAGTGTCTAGGAAATAAGTACATTTGAAAAAAGTAGAGAAGTCGGGCCAATCAGAGACCAACACAACCCCAACTTGAACCCAACCTGAAGCTTTAGGGTTGGGGGTTCAACCCAACCTAACCTGGCCCAACTTGCACCCCTAGTCAAGTGGTTCAACCAGTTGGTTGAACTAGTGACCCATGCCATTAGGTATATAAATATATAATATATTATATATGATAACATGTCTGATGTTTGTGGCTTACTGGTTATTTTTCTAATCTTCATTCAAGTGATTTAGGTTCATTGTAAATCATGCTTTTGGAAAAAAAAAAGAACACATATATTTGGTCAATATAAGCATTAAAGAAACACAAATACACACAGACACACAAATTGTGTTGTGGCTTATTGGTAATATGCAATTCTTTGTAAATAGCAGGTTGTGAGTTGAATTCCTATTATTATCATCTACAACATATCATGAAGCAATGACTTGGGTGGATCATTGAAAACTGGCCGGGTCACTAAAACTTTCTGTTCAACAGTTTTCCCAAGTTAATAGTGAGTCAGATGTTTTTTAGTTAAAACTAAAACTCAGGATAAAAAAAAAATCGCTGATTCCCTCCAGTTTTTGAGTGTGATGGTCAGACCATCTGGTCCGGTTGAAGTAACATTGATTTTTATGTGTTGTGCCTTATAGTAATTTAAACCTCAAATTTAACTTTATTGATATATATATATATATGAAGGATTTTTGTGAGTTCCCCTAGCATATGCATGTGTATCCAGATCATTACACTCTCCAAATTATATAGCAATATGTATCTTAAAATTCCCTTTCTAATAATCCTTGCAATACCAATGCTTTGAACCTTGGATAGAGGTAGTCACCAATATATGCAGCTCAAATTACATATTTATGGAGTTATTTTATTGATTTTGAGATAGCTCTCCTAGATTAAAACTTGATATATTGTATCATCGTTTGTAAAAGAAAAAAATTTCATTTTGTTTTAATTTTAATTGTGATTGTCTACCATATGCAACTTACGTTATATTTATGAATATGTGGTTGCACGATAAGACAATGGATCTACTAGGATCCTGTAGTCATGATCATGGTTCAAGCTGGGCTCTAGAAGTAGGAAGCCAGACAAATTCTTGCCCTGTAATAGTGGAGAATCTTAACATGAATGGGCAGATGCTTATAGAGGTTTGTACTCATCAAATATGAATAAATTTCTTGTTAGTCTTCTTTTCCCTAAATGAAGTATTCTGGACAAACTCTGTAGATTTTGTGCGAGGATTGCAACCATTTTCTTGAGATAGCTGAAGCCATTAGAAGATTGGGACTTACAATCTTAAAGGGTTTGACAGAAGCTCATGGCAAAAAGACATGGGCTTGTTTTATTGTTGAGGTGAGGCTTTGGTTGCATATGAGCTCTTGGCTTTGTCAGAGTTTGAGAAAATATATATCATGGTTGTCTTAATTCCTGATATCATATAATTTTGTGGAGCTTTCTCTTCGTATATATATAATTTCATGTCAAACAAGTTATGACAGTGTGTTAACAGCATCACAACCAAACTGTATCAATTGAAACTACTAATGGCTCATCTGGAAACCACATGGAATGAAATGATTTCTTCTTACTTGAAGAATTTGTCTGAATAAGTTAGAAATTTATTTTTATAAGAATATTAAGAAAGAAATGGTCATTGAAAGATTATGAAAAAAACGAATTCATTTATATCATTTTCCCGAAATTCTAGTCATTTTTTCGTTTATTTTTAATTTCTTTTCTTTTGGAGAATGTGTTGCCTTGATAATACTATAAAAGAAAAGGCCACTACCAAGTGTTGCTCCAGCTATCTGGGGTCTTGGAAGGGTGGAGTGGATATGGACCTAACATTTAGCACATTTTTGCACAAAGTGGCCACTCTCATACTCAAATCCATATTCTCAGGCTTTACAGCCCAAAATTTTACCATTATAGCAAGAAATGGCCCCTTATTAGTTCAAATACTATGATAACCGAAAAAAAAAGAATTATTTGTTCCATAAAATATGTAGTGACACAGCACAGTAGATTGGTGTGGTCCCTCCTTATATTTATGTTATGTTTTATGTTATTTATTGCTTGCCGTTATTGTCTTTCTTTTTTTTTGTACTAATCTTTGTTTGCTAACATATTAATACAAACAGTGGGGAAACAGGAATATTACTTACTGCACTCCTTTTCTCATTCTCTCCTCTCTTCTCTGTTCTCCTCTGTTATTTTCTCCCTTTCCTTTTGTTGAATACACATTAGAATATAGTCTGACTGTAAATCCTTTCAGCCAAGTTGGTATTAGAGCAGGTCTAGGGTTGATTAGGGTTCTCATGTGGACTTGGTCCAGTCAGCTGCATGCGAATTTCCTAGGGCTGGAGCTTCAGCGCATGTTGCCCAATTCTTGGAAGAATTCTATTGTTGCCCAGGGTGGTGTCTGACCTTGGAGATTGCCCAGTGACCAGGAAGAATCAGAGAAATCAGGTCGGTATAAGGTCTAGGGCTTAAACATGAGTTTGGAAGTGGCACTCAGAGTTTTCTAGGCTGATTTCTCATCTTTGTTGAGATTGACAGTCATTAGAAGGTATTTGGATCCTTATAGAAAGAGTGACTAGTAGAATTACTTTTCTCCAGGCCTGTTCTAGGGTTTCCTACGAGACTGCGATCAGTTTTTTGATCTCAGACCTACTTCTGTGACTGATAGTCACCTGAATATTATTTTGGAGAATTGTTTGAGGATGGTTATTTGTTTTGGAGGCTGTACAGACTTGTTTAGCATTTATTAATGGCTGTTATTTGTTGGAGGACTATCATTTGTAGTGTATTTGTCATTGAGACAGCTAGGAGTGAATCGAAGGCTCAAGGGGAAGGACCTGTAGGGGCTGGACGTATGACAAATAACTCTTTTCAGATTACTACTGTCAAGGTTGATGGAACTAGCTACTTGGAATGGGCACAATCAGCCATGATGGCCATTGGAGGTAGAGGGAAACTTCGGTATGTGATTGGGGACATAAAGAAACCAGCCAAGAAAGACCCAACTATGCTAAATGGGTTCAGGAAAATCTACTTGCTTAAGCATCCACTTGGGAGGAATAAAGAAGTTGGGAGGTCTTCTGTTTGTAAGTCTGAGTTAGATTATGCTTTGGCATAATTGGTTGGGTCAGTTATCATTTGGGGCTTTGAAGAGTCCTTTTTCCTACATTGTTTGAGTCAGTCCAAGTGTCCAATTTAAGGTATGAGAGTTGTGAACTTGCAAAGCATTATAGATCAAGTTATTCTTTGAGTAATAACAGAGGCATTTCTCTTTTTGAAATTGTGCATAACGATGTTTGGAACCATATCATATTACTACTATGGGGGGAGGGTACAAATATTTCTTGTTGTTTGTTGATGATCATTCCCATTTCTCATGGGTTTATCTTATTCATTCTCAAGATGAGGTCCCTTCTCTAACCCGTGCTTTTCACCAAATGGTTATAACCAAATTTGGAATCAAAATCAAAGCTTTTAGGTAAGATAATGCCACAAAGTATTTTGAAAAATCCTTGGCTTCATATTTCCTTGAATATAGGGTTATCCATCAACGTACCTATCCCCATACACCTCAGCAAAATGGAGTATCTGAGAGAAAGAACACATCTTGGAAGTTGCTAGAAGCATCATGCTGAATTCTAATGTTATATGTTTTTGGAGGGATGCCATCCACACAAGCATGTATCTAATCAACAGGGTTCCTTCACGAGTTTGAGATATGAAATCTCCTTTTAACCCAACATATCCAAATAAAGACATGTTCACTATCCCCCTTAAGCCCTTTGGATGCATTTTCTTTGTTCAAATCCTTGGACCTCATTGCTCTAAATTTTATCTTAAGGCTGCTAAGTGTATTTTTCTTAGGTATGCACAAAGTCAAAAGGGGTACTGTTGCTATGATCTTGTCTCTAGAACTTGTTTTGGTCTATGGATGTTACCTTATTTGAGGATGTTCACTATTATTCCCAAGGGTTTCATCTCAGGGAGAGAGTGGTGAGAAGGGTATTTTTGCCTCGGAAGTTCCGTTACCTGTTCTATCACTGAAAGAGAGTGTGGTGAAGGGGATTTCAAAAGTGTAAAGAATTAAGGGTGTCTCATAGACAGTGGAGGTAGATTGATTTCAGTCATGAGCAATCAAGGCTAGTTCTCGTCTCCACTACAACCCCTTTACCTACTACTATTGCAGATGACATTCCTATTACTACTGAGCCTCATCCTCCCTCAAATGATCTTGACCTCTCTATTGCAATTTGCAAAGGGACGCGTTGTTGTACCTCATCTACCACCCATTGCATATCTCAACTTCTTTATTATAACCACCTTTCACCATCTTATAAATCTTTTTTGGCATCTATTGCTATTTGCTACTATATCTATTCCTAGAACAATGCAGGAATCCCTACTAGTGCCTAAGTGGAAGGATGCAATGAAGGTGGAAATGGATGTCCTCACTAAAAATAATGCATGGAAGCTAGTGGATCACCTAGAAGGGAACAAACCTATCGGGTGCAGATGGGTGTTTACAGTAAAATATAATGCAAATGGCTTAATCGAAATATACAAGGCCCAACCAGTTGCAAAAGTGATAACATGGACTTATGGTATTGATTACGTTGAGACCTTTGCACTAGTTGACAAGATGAACACCATTAGAGTGATGTTTCCCCTTGTTGTGAATTTCTCATGGTCGTTGTTCCAAATGGATGTTAATAATGCCTTCCTCAATGGTGATTTGCAGGAGGAGGTATATATGGAATTACCCCCTGGTTTCATGATGCAGATACAGAAAAGAAAGCCTATTGGATGGAGAAGATTTTGTATGGTCTAAAGCAATCTCCAGGGTCATGGTTTGATAGATTTAGACTTGCCTTAGAGAAGTTTGGCTATGTGCAGGCCTAGTTAGACTACACACTTTTTTATCAAGAAGGAAAGTTCTTCCTTAACTTTCCTTGCAGTGTATGTTGATGATATTGTGGTAATAGGCAATGATACTAGTGAGATTAATTCTTAAGCAGTTATTTAACAAAAAGTTTGAAGTGAAAGACTTGGGTGATTTGCACTATTTCTTGGGAATTGAAGTGGTTCAATCTAACATGGCATTTTTATCTCATAAAGAAAATATGTCCTAGATCTATTAGAGGAAATTGAGAAATTAGGAATTAAACCTGCTGATACACCTACTGAACAAAATCATAAGACAAGTGTAGAAGGTGGTGAGCCTCTTGAAGGCAAAGCTATGATCCATCCATTAGTTGGAAAACATATTTATCTATATCACGATGCGGCATCTCTTATGTTGCCAGTGTTGTCAGTCAGTACATGCATTTTCCCAAAATATCCCATCTACTTGCAATTGAGAGGATTCATGCTTACTTGAAGAAATGTCCAAGCTGAGGCATACTCTTCAAAAATAATGCTCATATGAAAATAGAGGCATATACAAATACTGGTCGGGTGTATTGATGATAGGAGATCTAACTCAAGGTGTTGTACCTTTGTTGGAGGGAATCTTGTTTCATGGAGGAGTAAGAAACAAAATGGTGTTGCACATTCCATTGTTGAGACTCAATATAGAGTCCATTGCTAATGGTGTGGTTGAAGTATTATGGTTGAGATCCCTACTTGAGGAGTTGGGAATTGAATATGAAAAGCCATTGATGTTGTATTGTAACAACCAGGCCACTATTAATATTGCTCAAAATCCAATACAACATGATTGAACCCAACATCTCGAGGTGGACTGGTGGGTGTCGAATCCAACCAAAGATAAAAAGTCTTGCTCGAGTGAATAATTTGTATATAGTGATGAGCAAGGTCGTCTCCACAGGGATTGGGTGGATTTATTTCCAAGTAAATGAAGTAGGGGGTTGTGAAAATAAGGAAGATAAGATGAAATAAAAGAAAATAACAGAAAGCAAGGATCAAATCGATGGGAGATAGCTTCCGGTTGAGGGGACAAGTTCAGCTTTGATTCTTATCATTGATCCTCGATGCAAAGATAAATTCATATGTTTACGAATAAATTGGTTATAGCCATTAACAAGCTCTAACAGCCAGCCTCTACTCGTATTATTCGACAACCAAAACAAGCTC